AACAGTGGTTTTTTGAGATGCCGCCTTGCACCCGGTACTGGACGACGGCAACGGTTATTACATCTATATTGTTGCAGTGCAAAGTCATCACGCCATTTCAGTTGTTTTATTCATGGCGTGCCGTCTACTATAAGTCGCAGGTGGGTGCATATGTCTATAACGGCCAAGCGTGCATTTGCTAACGTTCCCAGTATTGGCGACTGTTAACTACGTTCATATACTTTGGTCCGCCGTCACTGGACCTAGCCTTCCATGTGTTCTTCCTTCAGCGATATTCTCGACTGCTAGAACAAGGCTCTGGGGCCTCACCAGCTGTCTTCTCTTGGCTGCTGTTATACGCATGCACGTCGCTGCTAGCCTTGAGCTCACTTACTACATCCATCCCATTCCTGGGCTCGGCGCTATCCAGCACTCTTGTATACATCTGGTCACGACGTAACCCCGACACTCGACTGAGTTTTCTCGGCGTTCTTGTCTTCACCGCCCCTTATCTCCCGTGGGTTCTAATGGCCTTCCACATGTTTATGCATGGAAGCATTCCCAAGGACGAGATACTCGGTGTGATCGTGGGCCATGTCTATTACTTCTTCGCGGATGTTTGGCCTGGTTTGCATGAGGGCCAACGACCGTTGGACCCTCCTGATTTCTGGGTCCGCTTATGGGAGGGTCGACGCGACGAAACTGGTGTGCGAAACATTGACGGTGACGTGGCAGCTGCAGCAACTCGGCCGGGCGAAGTACGGTGATAACAAGCTGGACCCTGGATTTGAACAACAACCGTCGAATTTCTCAACCTGTTGCGACCGGGATTGATAACACCAATAGAACCTGGCTGTGGATTACACATAGGTACAGCAAAACAGAATAGACCTGTCATTACTCAACACTCGAAATTCATCTGGATATGAATATCAACTTATTATTCACGTGGATTTGTATCTGAAATGCCTTCACTGTAGCCCGCCCACAGAAGTCAAAATGGGTGGCACGCCAGAGACCAGCACTTCCTAGCGTTGCTCTTCATCTTCAGGGATACTCCAATTGATCTTCGACAGCTGGATGAGAGAGCAAATAATTTGTGCGTCGTTCATGTGCGCGCATACTCTGCTCTACAATACGAAATCAAGATTACGGAGAACAAATACCTCAGAACCTTAAGCAAGGAGCAGCTCAACCTCTGTGGAGAGCTAGATACCTGGTGAGAGAGACTCGGCTCTTTCGAGGTACGTTGGAGAACTATACTTCTCGGGGCCATTGCAACCAGTCAAGTCCTTGGCAACTCGGATTGATGGACAGGGTTGTTGGACAGCATATTCCAAGAGATCAGGACACTTCACTAGGAAAAGAGCGTGACATTGATCCTACCTACACCGCTCGCTTGATTCGGCGAGGCTGCAACTTCGACCTCTGGCAGATCAACCCCGAAGCCTCAAAGATTAGACTGAATGATCAAGTCGATTTGTCTGATCAACGATTGTACGACACGGTCTACTGCTGCGCTCTGCGTTTGATCACTGGGCAAAAGTTCTACAGCCAGTGATGCATGATTGATGTACTTGGAACCAAAGTTTCGCAGACTCTGCGCGATTTGCCACAATAGCAAACGAGAAATATTAAGAGCTGAGTGGCTATCCACGTCTTTGGAATCGAACTTTGCAACAATATGTGGCCCACATGCTGAGAAGGGCATATAAACGGTTCCATCAAAACACCCCAGAGTCGGACGGATCCTTGCAATATCAAAGCTTGATCTTTCTGGTCACGGCGAGTTTCCATCGGATCTACTTTGTACCACGCTTTCTTTCTTTGACACAAGATGCGAACGTATTTGTTGAGAGACGTCTTCTTGAAAATCTCCGCTGGGTTGATCTCTACACCGGGCGAGTGCCTATAAACATGAGCTCTGCCGTTGACCAATCTACAATACTTTCTTCCCTCTTTCCGAGATATCTCTTTCTCTATCTTTTGCCTTATACTGTCCTTGAACCCTCCGGTTCTCTCCTTTTGTCTCTCACTTGGACCATCCTCCGTCATCTCGCTCTGCGCTTGAGCCCCCTGTCGCAGTGCCCTGTGCCTTGCCTTGACTCCACCTATCTATTCTTATCCTTTTTATACATTGAAACCATCCGAACCCTCACCCTGAACCTCGTCCCGTATTCTAACCGCCAACAAATTTTGATCAGCACGTCACTGTTGATCAGAAATAAACAGATTCCTATTTCACCAGGCCCTATTTTCACATTTTGTGTGTGTGACCTTGCACTTCGCACACGAGACCACCAATTTTTTGTTCTTGTTCCAAAAAGGAGAAGAAAAAAAACTTGTGTCGATCTATGGCCTTTACACTACCGCCACTGATGCGAGGAAACATGACAAAACTTTTTCATCATTCGCTCTTTTTTGTTTTTGGCCTTGCCGCAAAGCATTGGAGAAGAAGTTTTACTGTCGTGTCTCGGTGCCTCTTTGGGAGGAGGAGGTAGGAGGAGGTATGAGGGAGAAGAGGGAGATTATTTGCCTGTTTATTCGTTTGGCTGGCTGGTGGCGTCCTGACCTTGGTTCTGTTCACCTACCATGCCAGCATACCACTATCACAAGGGCTCGTGGATCGTTGATACTACCTCGTGAGATACAATACACACATCCCGCACATGGACAGATGGCCATTCTGTAGGAGAGGGGGTGTCTGGCATTCCGGCGCCTGGAGCCGAAATACTCGAGCTACCAACATCGCTTCGAACCGAGACGCTCTTTATTGTATGTACTGTAGGATGTGTGGGAAACCTGTGGGTCTGGTGGCCACAGAATCACAAGTGCAATGGTACTCTGGAGGAACTGCTCAGTTCGTATTCCTTTGTCTGCTCTATGGGGTCTGTGGATGGCAAGCAAAGAGTGAATATGAGACGCGGCGGGTCTGTCTATCTGCCTTGCTACTGTCGGAACTGAAGAAACACGAATCCACTCGTCAATCGTGCATCATGTTTCTAAACCGAAAGTTGGTCTTCCTTGCCTGTCATACTATCATGCACAACATCCACTTGTCATCCGAACTGTCATTGTTGGTATCATCATCACATCCGCTCAACCAGAAGCAACGTCTTGCAACGGCGAGAATGTCGACGCATTGCTTTACTTGAAGACCTTGCCGTCAGCCCACTCGTACGTCTTGCCATTGACCTCAATTGGCTTGTCCCAAGACCATTGGTCCTCGACGAATGCCTTGTCTTCGGGCTTGCTGGGATCAAGCTTGGTGAACTCGTAGCTCTCCCAATCTGGGGCGACGTCAAATGCGGGTAGAGCTTCGTCACCACGGACCAGGAAAGCGCCCTGGATGACCGAATCGTTGGCCTTTCCGTACACGGAGGCAGCGCCAAAGAGGTATTTGCGGGACGCTTCAAGGCGATTGAAGAATCCACCTGGTTCAACACTTAGCTGAATGTTTCACCGTGAAAGCGGTGGCATGAAGGGGGACGACTTACCAATGAGGTTTGATGACATGAAAGTCAGTGTCAACTCGTCGTTGTACTTGTAATCAATCTTCCACAACGAATACTCCTCTGGTTTGTAGTGCTCCCAGAACCAAGGCAATGCCACTGAACGAGTATCCTCATTGGAATACTTTCTCTTCCAGTCATCGAGAATCAAGGTCGGCTTCGGTAGTGCCTCGAGAGGATGCTTGGCTTTGACCTCTGGTTTGGCCTCCTCTTCCTCCTCTGGTTCCTCCTTGGCGGGTTTCTTCTCGGCCTTCTCCGGTGCAGGAGCCTTAGCAGGCTTTGCTTCCTTCTTGGGTGGGGTATACTTCACGGCCTCTTCGACCAAGATTGGCTCGGGAATGATGGCCTTCCAGATGGGTTGGTTTGTAATGGTCTCAAACCAACGTGTGGTGTTGGGATTCTCTGCACGCCATTCCTTGTCGAGGACATATTGGAAACCGCGGGACATTTGCGAGGTCACATACAGGTCAGCAAGAGTGATACGCTCTCCGACCAGGAAGGTGTGAATGAGGAAGTGTTGTTCAAGAGCATTGATAGCATCAGAAGCAGCTTTCTTGTGGTCATCAACCGACTTCTTGTTGTAGGGAACCTTGCCAATCAAAGGGCTAAACCACCCAGAAAGGTTGGGGAGGATTTCGCTGTTGGAGAAGGACATCCATCGCACAATGGAAGCATAGTCTTGCTTGGTTTTCCCAAGGAGAGTGGTCTTGTCGTTCTGCGAGGCGACTGCGATCAATTGTCAGCGGAACTCCTGCATGTCCAGTTCGCCAAGGGGTACCAAATAAGGGCTAGGAAACAAAGCCTCTCAGAGTTCAATGTAGTCAACAAGGAATATTCAGACAGGGATAACTGAATATGATAATATGGCTCATCTTTGAAGGCAGGAAATGACAAACATGGAACTGCGGGGCTAGACTCACAATAGATGGCAATGGCAATAGACTCAGTCAAGACGAAGCCATTGGAGCCAACAAAGGTCGGGATTCGTGACAGAGGGTTCAGCTTGCGATATTCAGGATCCGTGACGGGGGTCCTGGTCTCGACGAGTTCGATGTCAAGGTTGTTCTCCTTTGCGACCGCCAAAAGGGCAGTGCTGCGGGCGTTTTCCTACAGGAGTGAAGTCAGTAACGCTTGGCTCTCTGTAAATGTCCATCTGCGTAGGGCTTACCTTGAAGCCGTAGAGCTTGCCGAACGACATGTTGAATCTGGGTACGAACGTCACTCGGGGAAGAAGAATGGAATAGAGGTAGTAGAGTTGTCGTGAGGCAAGCGAAATTCAAGTCACAAACAAATTTTTGAGGTCAGTCATAAGTTCCCGCTTTTTGCAGCGCAGGCTCCTAAAAAGGCTTGGCGGAATGTGTGCCCGATCTCCAAGCTCCAACCTCACCAAACTTCTTCACTCACGAAGTGCCATTGGGTTTGCGCTGGATTTTTCCAGGCAATCAATCTGCAAGCCATGATCTGTCAGAGTCTTCTTCTCAGCAGGTGATGAAACACCTCCCTCTGAACATGGCGCGACCCTCAGCGCGGGCCTTCCCGTCCACCATCTCGTTCATCTGTCGCCAATGTCGACTCCATGACAAAATCCAATTGACAGCTCATCGTCAATGGATCCAGCCTCTCGGAAGATACCAGGGCTTCTCTACGACAACACATTCTGCCGCAGAGGTTCAGATCCGTGCTGCGCCCGAGATAGACATTGACGACTCTACATCTCTTCCTGCTCGAATCCTTCCACGATCTCCCTCCTATTTCACAGCCTCTCCGGTCTTCAACGATCACCTTTTACTGTTACAATCACTCGTCAAGAAACACGCATCGCTACCAACAGCTCCTCCAGACCAGATACTGCGGCCTGCTTGGCTGAAGCTAAATCAATACCGAAGCTCAACAGGCGAACAGGTGGCTGCTTCAAAATATTCAAAAGTGCTGGTTCTCTTGACTCGGTTGAACAAGATTCATCCCAGATATTGTCCCAAGGAAGTGAAGCAAATCCTGACGCGATTCCGACGTCCCGGCTCCGAAGAGATACAGAAGGCAAAGCCTGGCAAGATCGACGAGTATGGCAGGTCTATCGGTATAGGACGAAGGAAAGAGTCCTCTGCGAAGGTGTATCTGGTGGAAGGTACTGGAGACGTAATGGTCAATGGACGCAGCATCGTACAAGCATTCCCACGACCTCACGACCGAGAGAGCGCACTGTGGGCGTTGAAGATCACACAAAGAATGGACAAGTACAACGTTTTTGCATTGGTATCTGGTGGAGGGATTACCGGTCAGGCCGAGTCCCTCACATTGGCTCTTGCCAAGGCTCTGCTGGTACACGAACCAGCACTGAAGCCAGCTCTGCGACGAGGTAAGCGAAGTTTTCTCCCAGCTTGTGTTCACTCGCAGTCTCTAATTCTTAATCCAGCCGGCTGTGTTACTTCGGACCCGAGACGCGTCGAACGCAAGAAGCCAGGTCGACTCAAGGCACGGAAGAAGCCCGCTTGGGTCAAACGGTGAGGAGTCGGGACGCGCCAGTGGTACTTCAGTGGTACTTTCTTGTACATCATTGTATCAAGTGCTCCGTGTACATTGGGTGTTCATGCCAGATCTTGTGCAACCAGACCACGATCCTCTCGGGTACAGATCGCAAGAGGGGGTGGCCTCCAATCTATGGTCATTACTACGGTTTCAACCTGGGGCAGAGGTCTTCTGGTTCGTGGCTCCAAGGAGGAGTAACATGTAATTTGGCACTTGGATTTTCACCGTCTGGCACAATGGCTCGACATGCTCCGTGGCGGAATTCGGTGCCAAACCACTGGATTGGCATTGTTAAGACCTTGTCAGCCCTGTAGGCAGAGTAACACACATGCAGACACGACTTCGTGCAGACAGATTGTGCATTGGTTGACGCGGCCGGCATTGATCATGGCGGTCCTCACGTGCCTCAGCCTTGATTCCCGATACATGAGCCCATCCTGATCGATGCATTTTCCTTCTCTTCTGATCCCCGGCGTGTCGCGTCGCACCAATTCTGGTTCCATTTACGCTGGTTGCCCTTTTGATTCTGACTGCACCAATCTCACGATTACCAAGAGGGTCTGTCGACAGTCTCAACGGTCCTGCAAGCGAGCTGTCAGATGCCCAGCGACTCGACCGTGATATATCCTGCAGGCTGCAGCCGACACCGTTGTGGTGATCCCTTAAGCGAGATTCCGGCAGATCCCTTTGCAAGACTTCGGCCTGATGGAAGAGTGACTTGCACATGTCGAGTCACTAACACTATTCTGAGCCTAGCTTCGCGCCCTGCACGCTGCACGCAACTTCGCAAAATAGAACGAATGGTTTGCATCCTGGCCCAGTGGAGCCGTTGCTGGGGACTTGGGAGGCTCGTTGCCCCGAGGCTGCATCGGAACTCGTCTTCCAGAAAAGAGGTAGGACCTGTTTTTGACCTGAAACGCATGTGCCAAAATCTGACGGGTACATACCTAGAGGGGCAGTATTCGAACCCTCACCATAAGCACCACGGGGATTCCGCCGAGTGGCCGCCAGCAATAATTGAAGGCTCGCATTCACAAATGAGACTTCGCCGCTCTAGCTTTCCAAGTCCAAACCGACGGGAAAATGACCATAACGAGCCTCGCTCAACCCGCGTCGCTACAGCTCGCGTCATGATACTGGACCAACTGTTTGTGGTCGAAGTGCGGTACATGTCAACAAGGACCGAGCCACAGCGAACATGAAACGAAGCGCTGAAACGCGCCCTCTAAGCCACACGCTAAACGGAGTCTCCAAGATGATCCCAGCCCCGGTGCGGCTCGGAAATATACCATCAGTCAACCCCGCAAGAGCAAAATGAAGATACCCATCGGCGTTTATGACCACCGCCATGCCTTGAACCCGTTTAGACCGTGCTCGGCAGTAAGAGCCACAAGTCGGAATGAGTTCAATCTTAGGAATTCCATTTAGAAAAGTACGATGTTCCTGTCGGGTTGCGGAGATCTTCAGGAACCTAAGCCACCCAGGGAACCGGGTGTGAAACACATGCATGCTGCAGGACTCCTTGTTCCCACTCGACCGCTGTCACACGGGTATGCCAATAATGCATCTGAAATTGTGTCAAAGATATCATTGGCGTGAGAGTCCCAAGGCCACCTTGTCGCGTCCGCACCTATGCACACGAGTACGGCTGCAGGTCCGGCCTCAAGGGTCGAAAACTGGAGCCAAAACAACAAGTGGACGCCTTGATTCGAACTATTTGCATGACACGGAGATTGTAATCCCAATAACGAGGTGGAAAGACCAAAAACCAAACAGTCTCACAAGATGTGCTTTCAATACAGAGAAGGGGGGGGGTATGTCTGGGAAGCAAACGTGGCTTCAGCAACCATATGACAGGTCAGGCGTGGGGACTTGAAATGCATTTGTCTCTGACACAGGCACATCACGTACATTTCGCCAGCTGGAAGCTCACCAGATCGTTGGGTCGATGTTACCACTGTTGCCATCCGACTGGCTGACGAGGCTCGGCTCGATGACGCCTCTAGATCGAGGAACGTACTCGTACACGGCCAACAGGTCACTGTCGGGATAGAGTCGAACAATGCCCTTGACTTGTTCCATCGACGTGGTCGGACAACTGCCTTTGGGTATAAACTCGCCATTGGGACGATTTCCAAGGCAAAGGAAAGCTTTCCAGAACGGTACCACAGTGTATACACTGTGATTCTGTTCGGAACCCTCCGACCACTATGTACCTAGGAAACGCGTCTCGCGATAGGACACGAGAGCTTTTCACGCGCTTGCGAGATCACATTTCGTGTCGTCAATCAGGACATCCATCACAGTTTGGGTTTTGATCAAAGGATTTTCTGACCGGAGGAATCGTGTGCACACAGCGGCGGTGCAATCCGAGCATTGCTCGAATCCTCGACGACGGTGCCATCCGTCAAACGGCGGTTGTACAGCTGACCACTGGTCTTGTGTGACACCAACACATCCCCCGAGTCCAACTTGATGGGGCTTCGGTGGTAATCTCTCGAGGATCAATCAGCGGCGTTGAAGAGTGTGCCCCCCGACACATTTATAAAGCCAATTGATATACATATCCGAGTACCAGCCCAGCTGAAACCGAGCACTTTTGGACTTGTCGACTTGGCCATTAGCTGCTTCTAGAGCATCGTCTGGGCCTTCTTTTTCACCTGCGCGGCATCCCAGGGCCACGACGGGGCAACCAATCCTGGAGCCTAGGATCAGCTGTGGTGCGGACGGTTTGGAAGTCTGAGCTCCAACCAGGTGTCATGCTCCCCCTGCTTTATGTTCCTCGGGCGCCACACTCTAAATCTCGCCTGGCGCCGCGGCAGGTGGATGCCAGTGGCAGGCTAAGATGCAAGCCTTGTCAGACCAGTGGCTAGTCCAGCTCCCTTGCGCTTGATGAGAACGCCCCCTCGGCCTTTAGCGAACCCCTTGCAAAGGTCCTGGAACAGATCCACTGGCGGGGACGTCATGCCCATTCAGACGCGTTCTTTTCGCCTGGTTTTTGCCCATGGGTCATCAATCCTGACGCTTGTGAGGGTGTCATCATTCCCAGCATCCATGAACCTTGGGCACCGTCGCCAATGCCTGCTTGGAAGTGACAGCTTGATTGTCTGAAGCCCTACCTTTACCTACAGCAGCGAACAGATCGGGCGGGAACTACTTGCTCAAGCTCGAACCCGACGCCCAGAAGATGGACCTCCCTTGACCTCCAACAGGCTGGCCTCTTCGAAATGGGACCCTTTTGGCATTCGCCCCCAGGCCGCGGGTGGGCATGTCTGTCCTCCTGTGGCGCTGCCCACTTCAAAAGACTTTTTTTTCTCTCTTTTGACACCCGGCAAGAAACGCCTTGCCTTGCTCTACTGGATCTTGGGTGGGAAAAAAAAACGACATCACCGGCCGCGTTGGTAGGAGTTGACTTTGACGTACCAGGAACGAGCGACCCATCGATTACTGCCATGCGGTATCTGCGCCATTCCCCATCCAAGTCTCCTTGGTTAAAGTGTTTATTATTGATTTGAGTCGTGCGCACTTTCGCCTGCCACGGCAGCTGCACCACTTCAGGCCTCTTTTTTGTATACATTGCGTTTCCTCCACTATTCCAAGGTACCTGGGTCTTCTTCTTTTTCTTATGCTACCGAACGCTCCTTTACTATTTCTTTCGTACGATCCTTTGCTCCATGTCCTTGCGTTCGTGTCTTGACCTCTCGATTCATTCCGTCTATCCACCCTTCTGACGCCACTAAACCTCCCCCCCACTATCCTTTGGATCAACTCGACGTTGTTTTTCTTTGCCTGTTGATACGGAAGGCGCATATCCTGAGACCATTCGCGACGTACATCTATATGTGCGGCGGAAGTCGCCGAGGATTCGTTTGTGTTTGACCCCAACGACTTGCGCCCGGAACATTCGACTCTCGAGCACGAACAGGATAGCGATTGACTATCCAACCACGGGCGCTGCATCCGCCGGTCCATCCCACAGTATCTGGAGCAGGCGGTAATCCGAAACCATTTTCGCACTTTGCTGTCGGATTCGTGGTTGGCTCTGCGCAGCTATAGAGGTGGTGTCAACTCTTTACTTTCCCAAATCTTATACTTCTCTCTGTCCTGTGACGAACTTCCGACCCACGAAACCCGGACGCACAGAGTCTTCTGCCGATATTCCGATATCGACCTCCTGCCTCTTTCCGCCTCTCAGTGGTTGTATGAGGGAACGAACTCAGGCGAGGGGGAAAGGAGAGGCATCCGAGGTCAAGGAGGAGGCTGTCCTTCCAGGTCCGTCATATCAATTCGGGGGCATACGATTCTCAGAAGGCGCGGGACTGTTACTGTCAACCTGGCGTCGACAGGCGAGTCCGTCTTCCTTAAATGGACGGCAGTGACCGTCGGCGCACCCAGTATGGACCACCATACCAGTCACAGGCGCCATCGCGCCCTCTGCCAGGAGAAGCAATGGGCCCACCTTCGGGCGACAGGTTTGCGCAGCCAGCAACGCCAGCGAGGACAGATATTGGCAGATCTTCGATGACGCGCCCGTATCTTTCCGGCTACACCGGCTACGGGTACCAAGACCCGCAGTATGGCAGCACCCATCTGCAGAGCAGCAGCCCGATGCAAGGGGTGGAGATGCAATACTCACCTGCGTATCTGTCGCAGGCCTCCAGACAGCAACAGGTCCAAGCCTCTCCCTCACAGCAACAGCACCAGCCTTTTGCGCAGTATGCGCCCTCGGCCATGCTTCCGCCGGTAGCACCACAGGCACTCTACGAAAGCATTCCGTTCCAGCAGCGACAAACGGCGATCGAGGTTATGACTAGTCAATTTGCAATTCCCCAATACATGCAGCAGAGCGAACACGCGGGAGCAACCCTCGGTTCTGGTCCCGCTCAATACCTGACTTCCCAAGCGGAGCAGAGTAGCTTCGGTCATGTGGCTGTGACTCGACCATCTATGCCTCAATCTTATGCCACTGGGCATGTCGACTTTCCGGTGATGGAGCAACAGGAGACAGATGCACCGGCTGTGCTGAGCGGCGTTCAAACGGCCCTTGAAGAGAGTCTGAGGGACTACCATCAGCAGCTGCGGGCCACTTTCGACGCGATCATTGCGGGCCGAGTGACGGCAGCTAGCGAGAAACTGCTCGCTCTCACTCGGTGGCTCGTCAGCTCTGTGGCTGCTTTGGGTAAGTGGAATCCTTGATGAGTGAGATGCGCAAGCAAATCTAATTGTTCTCCAGGATTGCACCATGACGACGAGACCAGGCATGCAGAGCGCGTCGACTTCTGGCGAGAGTTGAACTTATGCTGGGAGGCTTTGGGACAAAAACAGAGAGAAATCACAGAAGAGGCCGCTAGAAGCAAGAGACCACCCGTGGACATGCTCTCGGCCAGCAGCATAACCAGTCTCATGGACGACTTGGTGGGCATGTGCGATCAACTCGAGCAATACGGCCTCGTGGACTTTGAAATGGGCATCTGGGAAGAGCAGATTGTCCACATCTTCACGGTCTGCCTCGACCTTCTGCCTCGTGGCGGACTCAAACGACGAGCCAGCGAGAGCCCCGGCTGAGACCCAAATTCAATACCACCATCCTGATTCTCTACCGCCACGACTCTACGACACATTACGAACTGGGAACCCTTTTCCTTTGTGGGCAACGGCCTTTCATTCACCTGATGAATTATACCTCGTTCTTTCTTCATGATACATGAACTTGTACGACCAGGACGTTTTTTCGACTTGCATGATGTACGACTACGAATTGTGAGAACCGGTAATCCTGGCTCACAGCAAAAAAGGCCTTTGAAGGGGTGGGGGAAGGAAAAAAGCACGGAAACAGGCAGGCGGAATTCTACTTTTTTTTGTTTTATTGGCCCCTTTTGGATCTGATCTTGTTTTACATGGCTCGATGCTTGATGTTCGATGCTTGTAAAGGAGGAAGTCTTTTGTACCATAGCTACCGTCGGGTTGGTCGGTAACTTTTTTCGGGCTTTCTCGAACGAGAACCGCAGATTCTGAAGCATTGCAAGGCTCCTGATTGTTGCTTCGGAGGCAGTTCCCTGTGGTTTGTTTCGCAGTCATAGGTGGACACTGCGTGGTGCAATCGAGTGACGGTCCAGCCATTTGAGGACCAGTATACCTGTCTATCTATCGCACCCTTGCTTTTTGAAACAACAACAGCCTCGCTCTGACCACTCACTGAACCTTGTCCTTTTGCATTGTCATCGACTCAGGGGTTGATCTGGCCTCACGTTTACCCTGGATAATGTGTGGCTGTGGTATCTGTCCAAGACCCAATGAGAAGACCGAGACAGGGAAGTGCTCTCAAGAAAGACATAGAGAGCACACCTCTCCACCACTCGTGATGCGGTGGCGAAGAACCGGACCGTCTTTCACAGGTTCCCCCTCTCCCTCTTCCTCACCACTTGCTACGGTTTTCTACTCTCTGAGAAAATTGCTGCTTTAGGGGCCAATCAAGGTCGCAAAAAAAGTCGTCAATGTGGGACTCGTTACAAGGACGCACCTACGAATCAAGAACTGTCTTCCCAGCGAGGATTCGTCGACCAGCGTTTGTCCTGTAAAATGCCTGCCTGCAACCCTCGCCTGCGTCCTCCGCCATGCCACGTCAGAAAACATCAAGCACACAATTCAACTTGACTTGGTTGCTGGATGGATGGAGGGAGAGAGGGAGAAGAGGAGGAAGCTCAAGAGTTGGTGTTGTTGTTGCGAAACAAGCCTCACTTTTCCACCTTTAGCCTCAGCCACTTCCCAGAGGGCTAGGCTACTGGCTACCTACCTCACACCATCCAGTCATGTTGGAGAGAAAATCCGCTTGGACAGCCGACATATCACGTCTCCTTCTGACATGGGGTAGAAAACAGAGCCAACGAGGTCATGTATGTATGTATTACCGCGTTGCTTCCACAACCAGGCAACCGTCAGGCGTCCAATCACGGTCCGGTCGAGTCCATATACGAGGATTACGGTAGCAAAGATGTTGATGATGATGACGGGCGACTTCGCGCCCCAAGAGATATCGATCGACCTGAGGTGCAACAACGAGAAAAAAGAGGCGTTCGACACCTCCATCGCCAGCCATGTCTGCGCCGCGAACAACACCAACTCGCGTCATCGTCATTGGCGCTGGCATCGCCGGCCTCGTCGCCGCAAAGACTTATTTACAAGTCTGCAAGCGTCTCGGGCGACCGCTCGAGTTGATCGTGTTCGACGAGGCAGGGGACCCAGGTGGCGTGTGGACGACGGAGCGCCAGTACCCGGGCTTGATGGTACAGGCTCCCAATGGATACTACGAGCTCTCGGACCTGTCGATGGTAGATGAAGACTACCCGTGGCACTCGCTGGTCCCGGCAGCCCGAGAACAAGCGTATCTGGAAGCCTACGCCCGCAGGTTCGAGGTCTACGACAAGATCCGCTTTGCCACAACTGTCGTCAAAGCCACAAGGCGGGAAGCGCCCTCTCAGCCACCTGGATGGCTCGTCGAGACCGCGACGGGAGAGGTCCTCGAGTGCGACAAGCTCGTCGTTGCGTCGGGTCTTTACTCCAAGCCCCGACCGATCCCGGTGCCAGTCTCGTCTTACACGGGCACGACCGTACACTCGCGCGACCTGGGCCGCGTGCACGAGCGCATCTGCGCGGACCCCACTGTCAACGACGTCGTCGTGGTCGGCGCCTGCAAGTCGGCCGTGGAGGCATGCTCGGTCTTCCTCGCCCGCCACAAGCGGGTGCACTGGCTCATTCGCCCTTCAGACCAGGGCGCGCCGCTGATCATCTCCCACCCGGATGCAAAGCCCAACCCCCTGGCGGTCGCGCTGACCCGGTTCTTCCCCGTCTTCACCCCGTCCATCTGGAGCACCAGCGGCTTCTGGTACGGCTTTCTGCACTCGGGACGCTGGGTGCTCGGCACCTGGCTCGTGCAGGCCTTCTTCGGCCTGATGAGCTGGGCCATCATGAGGGAAATCCACTACGGGCGAAGCCAGAACTCGCGCAAGATCCAGCCCAAGCAAAAGTCCCTGTTCTTCTACACCACCTACCTCAGCCTGGTGGTCGAGGGCCACCCGTTCCTCGACGCCCTGCACGAGGACAACCCGGACAAACTCACCGTCTATCGCGCCACACCCCTGAAATGCGAAGGTAGAGAAATCCTCGTGGATGAGGAGGGTAAGGGGCAGAGGCGCCTCCCGGCTGACGCAATCATATGGAGCATCGGCTGGGATCTGGGCCTGGACTTCTTCGAGCCAGAGGAAGCAGCAGAGATTGGGCTCCCTGTGCCCTTGAGCAACACTAGCAGCAGCAATACCAGGAGCAAGAACCCAGATCCATTGGCGTCCAATGGTGGTGGTGGTGATGGTGGTGATGCTCGCAACCCAGCCTCCGCTACACCAGCAGACGCAGCCCCCCCACCCCTCGAATTCTACGACGACAAAATCCGGAACCTCTTCCCAGCGACGTTGAACCGACCCCCGGCTCAACCGCAAGACCCGACCCGGACCCTCTCACACACGCGATGGGGTTTGTATCGCTTCATCATCCCGTCCAGGCACTTTGCGCGCGACGACCGCACCCTGGCGTTCGCGGGCTTCATCTCGTCCGCGCAGACGGCCACGACATCCGAGATCGGCGCGCTCTGGGCCGTGGCGTGGCTCGAAGATCTGTTTGCGCACCGGCCCATGCCCCTCGTCGACAGGGCCGACGCCGAACGATTCAACACCTTGACGCCACTGCCACCGCCGTCCTCGAAGAAACCGAAGCTTGGACAACAACAACAACACGATGTCGACCGATCAGTCGCTAAGAACGACGACGAAGACCTCCTCCAACGCCTCGCCGACGCCGAGATCCGCTTCACCCAGGCCTTCCAGGAACGGCGCTACGGGCTCCGCGGCGCCAGGGCGCCAGAACTACTCCTCGAGGCCCGCAGCTACATTGACGTGCTGTGCCGCGACCTGGGGGTCGAGGTGCACCGCAAACGGTTCCGCATGCGCGAGCGGAACACCCGCGGGGTCTTGCCGACGACGACGACGACGACGTCGAGGGAGACGGGCTCTAGCTCGAGCTCGAGCTCGGGCCTGGGCCTGTCGGGCCTTCAGGGCTTGTGGGACGCAGCCAAGGACTGGTTCAGGGAGTATTTCGAGCCGTACCTCGCCGAGGATTTCAGGGGTGTCGTCGACGAGTTTTTGAGGAATAACCTTGGAGAAGAGAGGGTCGGCGCGCAGGGGAGAGAGAGAGAGACGTAGATGGACAGACAGATGATCCCACGACATTATCAAACCCAAGGATGGATGGATATGGTGAACGAAGTATCAGGGTATCTATCCATATATATATCCCTATCTTTCAATTCTGGTGTGACGTCCGTTGACAACAAGAGAGAAAGGATCCACGAAGAGGAGTAATAACCAAGCTGCAATCTTTCTTTCACATCCATCGAGTAGCTGTAGCTGCACATGTTGATATCAAGACAGAGTCACCTTTTAAGCAAAACCCCGTTTCCCTCGGACTGACATTGTCTTGTGGGAGCTGTAAACAATACAAAACCGACCGACCAACACTTGTTCGCCGCCGCTATCGCAAGATACGTCTCTTTTTCGGACCCGCTCTTGCATTCCAGTTCCATTGCCCATGCTCGTGGGGACTTTTGAAAAAAGACATCTCAAACGCCTTGCTGAAACCCTCGCTAAAATGCCCCCCAATCCTGTGATACGTGCCCACGATGGGCCTGGAATATGTCCAATATGCACAAAGCACGACATGAGTATGACAAAAGAAAGAACGATTTTCCCTTTCGGACGTCTCCAATGGCGCCATGACACTTCCCCTTCCCTGCTCCGCTCTTTCGTAAAGTCGCAGTCGAGTCATCAATGGGTCTTGCTCGTTGCACCAATAGTTGCACTCTGCGGCGGTACAATCGCAGGCCCATTCCCCTGTGTATCGGGTCGAGGACCTTGACTCTCCCCATCCTCCGCGACGACTCTCACCTGGGGATCGGGAATCTGGATGTCCAGATTCATGTACCCGGTCCTCCTCAGCGGGATAATCTTCACACCATCTCGCGCGCCGACCGTGTGATTCCAATCCTCCAACCACTCTTCCAACCCCTTTAAAGCGCCTTTTATTCCCCAGGGTCGAAAATCTTCCCAGAGCCAACCTGTTAATACACCCATGATGCCGTCAAACCAGTTCCACGCAGAGAAAGGGTCGTACGCTTGACAGAGAGTTTGATTGATGTGTTCTATTACATATCGGAATTCTTGTTCTTGCATTAGAGGGTCGAGGATTTCGGGATATATATTCGAGAATGTAGGAGCGAGGTCGCCCACCACCATCCAGTCGCGACGGATACGAATTATGCGTGTGGCGGTGTACTCAAGGGAGTGTACTGGAACGTGTGGATTCAGATGCGGGAAACAAGGGTGGGAAGGACCCCAAGCGAGCTCCTCGGCGACGTCGCTGTCTTCATCTCCGTTCGGTATACCCCTTTCAACATCTTCTAGAGATGCCGTGTTCGGAGGATGGCCGCTATCTGTGTAGGCTCTCCCGCCAAATGCAGA